GGTATATATATATATATATATATATATATATATATATATATATATGGGTCAGAATTCGGACCACACGATAATTAGCGAAGCTAATTTCGTCTTAAGCTAATTTATGATCAATTAGTGTAACCACTCAGAATTAACGATATTCAACCCGAATCTGATTCGTCGGCAAGAAGCATGGCCATCGCCACACCATGAGGCGAAATACAACGGTTGGACACGAACACGTTATTGCCAGTCACGAAGTTCACACTATAGAATACAAAGTAGAGGGAACCCCTAGAATGGGGGGCATTCTTCTTTCACATCACATATACGAGAGAGACATGAATTGTCAAGATACCCAAATTTATGGGAAGAGGAAACTCTATGTTAAGGCTCTGAACCTCTCCGTGGAGAGAGTCAGACCAAACCAGATATTATCATAAGAAGGCTTCTAATTATCTCACCCTAATCTGGATACTTTATTTTCGTTTCTTCATGTTGTTCAACGGATTATATCGATTTGCTTGATTTTCTCGTGCATTGTTTTATTTGTTTTTATACTCATAAGGTATGTAAATAATTATTGAGTCAGAAATTTGGTGCCAGTCTATGGGGATTTCTAGCAAAATCGCGTAGTTCTTCCTTGGAACAAAAGGAAAGAAAGCCAAGCTGCGGGAGGAACTAGAAGCTTCATAATCAGATCTAAGTCCTCTCTCTTACTCTCGTCTCTCTCCGATCTAGATGAGTGCAGAACAAAAAGAATGAAGCCCCCCCATTCCCTAAGGGAGGTATCTGTAAGGCACTACCACGTCCTGATAGTAGCTCCGGTCAGAAACCGCAACGGAGATATCTCGAGCGAGAGTCGGTCCTCATAGACGCCTATATACACTGGTTGGGAAGCACAACGGATCAAGGCCTGAAAGGTACAGTCGAATTCAAAAACGAGTTTGCAGGCAACTCAATACACCACAATATGGGAACTTCAGGCATGGATGGCCGTTCGTCATCAAGATCGACGAAGTTAACAACGATGGTTGAACTGGGGACTGCAGGCCATAGAGCGCTCGCATCAAGAGAATTGACAGGTTCAACAACAGTTGATAGGGACTGGCTAGCTCTGCACATCAAACTGAAAGAGTTCAACAACAGTTGAACTGGGACCAGGCCACGCGCCTTCCGGCCATCGAAAATCGACAAGAAACAAATCAAGCAGAAGGTTGGAACTAGGGATGCCAGGCTACGGACGCGGGTTGCATCAAACATGATAAGTGTGAACAACAGTTACTGGGCTTTTCGCAGGTATGCGCCTCGCAGAGTTCTAGTTTGATAGCATGACTCAGGCTTAATGTACTTCTATAGATGAGATGTCAGAAAATTGTCTTAAATATCAGTCGGAATGCTATGATCACGCGCACGGGCTTTCGGCATCAAAATACGCCACCGTTCAACAACAGTTGACTTGGACTCAGGCTAGCGCTTGCATTAAATTAGGCACGCGCCTTCGCCAGTAAGTTTCAACTACGTTGAACCAAGGACTCAGGCTAATAGTGCTTCATCATTAAATCAAGGCTACGCCTCGCCAAGAAGTTCACAACTACGGTTGAACCAAGACTCAGGCTAAGCGCATTCATAATTATCAAAGGTCTATGCGACGCAAGCAGTTCAACTACGGTGAAACAAGACTCAGGCTAAGCGCTTCAATCATTAAATCAAGCTATATGCGCCACCCCATATCGCTCCCCTGTCAAGCCAAGCAAGTTTTTCCAGAAAAAACTAACGGTTGAACAAGACTCAGGCAAGTCCGCTATCATTAAATCACTCGAAGCTATGCGCCCTCGCCGAAGAAGTCAACCTAACGGTTGAGCACCAAGATCGGGCTAAGCGCTCTCGTCATTAAATCAAGGCTAATACGCCTCAGCAAGGTTTCACTACGGTTGAACAAGACTCAGGCTAAGCACTTCGTCATTAAATCAAGGCTTGCGCCCTCGGCAAAAGCAAAGTTCAACTTAAAGGTAACAAGACTTCAAGGCTAAGCGCTGTGTCATTAAAATCAAGGCTATGCGGCCTTAAGCAAGAAGATTAACTACGGTTAAACCAAGACTCAGGAGCGCCTTCAAGATTAATCAGCTATGCGCCCTCGCCATAGAAGTCAACTACGGTTGATACCAGACTACAGGGGCTAAGCGCCTTCGTCATTAAATAAGGCTATAGCGCCTCGCAAAGAAGTTCAACTACGGTTAAACCAAACTTCAGGCACGACGCGACCTTCGCATCAAAATCAACAAGTTCACACAGGTTGAACTGGGGATCAGGCTAACGCGCTTTCGCCATCAAAATCGATCAAGTTCACACAGTTGAACTAGGGGCTCAGGCCTGAGCCTCCACCACCGGCCTGAATTCAACAACAATTGAACTAGGACTAGGCATATGCGCCTGTGCCAAGAATCAAATACAGTTGAACATGGCTCAGGCTTAGCGCCCTCAAATGTATAACCCTACGCCTTTCGCGAGTAGTTTAGGCTACGATAGAAACCAAGACTAGGTCTCACGTGCCTTCGCCTCAACCAGACAGTCCAGACCTCGCTTGAACCATAAGGGCTAGACGCCTTTCATCCTCAAATCTAAAAAGTTCAACACAGATTGAACCAGATCGGACCAAACCCTCATCATTTTGAACTCAGCGAAAACTCATCTCAATATCGAAAGAGATTAGACCCATGTGCCCTACAAGTAAGTACTCAAACTCAACTAAGATGGGGACAAACAGTAAAGTCCGGCCCCCGGTCAAACTAAGGCCGCGTTCGTATCACGGCCGGAACAGTTCGCCGGCCCGGAACTGGACTAAGGCTAAGTGCACTATGCAAGCAAACGGTCCGACATGCTCCGGCCCGATCGAAAATGAAAATTCGTCAGTCAATTAAACACTAACAGGCCTATCAGAAGTCGATACTCGAAGGGCAATCACCTTTGACGCGCATGCAAAGAAAAATCTAAAAGGGAAATGAGGAGGTAAAAACAGATAAAAGCAATGATAACCGGAGCAGCGATATCATTTTCCAACACGGAAATAATTACGGGTCATCGCCGCTGTTACACCCGGGCAATGGCGTCATACAAGGAAAGAGATAAAAGAGAAGAAAAAAATGCATAACAATTTTCTCGGCGCCATCCGCGCCAATCGCTCTGGCATCTGCCACGATCAAAACCGACAATGGCACGGGGCCTCTGCGAAGCCTTTTGACGCGCCCCGCCATCGAAAGCACTTCGGTCACGACGCGGCCTCCATCAATTCTTATACAATCGCGTTGGGGCTCGGGGAAAGACCAAAGTTTCGACATGTGCTGGAGAAGCGGCTTGATCCAGTGGCACTGATTTTTCTTCTACAGTGTGAATCCGGTCCGCCATGACGTGAGGTCCCTCGCTCAAAGACACCCATCGCTCTCGAGACTCGCTTCTCTAAAGGCCTCAGGATCCCTCTTCGCAACGCCATTGTGGACTTGCGTGCACGGCGGAAGCTCCGCGCTCGCCCAGCCTCTGACGAGGCATCCCTCACTGAAGCTTAAATAATGCGACTCTCACCCTTCTCCACGCAGTACTTTTCCTGCATGCCGCAGTCGCTCCGCCGCCTTAGCCTGGCCCTGGGCGCTCACGACTCAGCTGCGTCCTTTACCGTGCCTCGAGCTCCTCATCTTAACCAGCGGAGCTGTCC